TGAGATATTGAATGTGAATTTATTTATATCTAAAGTTTCATGTTCCTAGAACAATAGCGCAGATAAATAACGGATCATAAGAGATTAATGAAATAAAAAATGTCTTACCCGCATTTTCAGGTCGTCGATTTAGTACGGAACAAAACACGAATCACCAGCTGTAATTATAACGAATAGCCTTCTTCTTCTTCTTCGGTTATAATTTTAGTGTTGGAAGGTATTGTTTTAGCCATATAAGTTACGTGTCATTTGCTTATGCGCCATATGGGCCGTGGACTCAGACTGCTTATCTTTTTTGGATTTGCCTCTATAGTCTTTGTTCAACCAAGAACAAATTTCAAGGCAGCAATTTTTTTTTCTTTTGATTTTGGAGTCATCACCATCTATCGAACCTCATTTCTTAAACCCAAGACATTTCGGTTTAGAAACCACGGGCTTTACCGGCTCGACCACGCTGACCCCTTAAAAACTAGTATTTAGCATCAGTTTTACAAGTCTATATAGTGTATTAAGCATCCGGTCAAGACGACAATTCTTGTTCTTTGTGTGCATCACCAGCAAAACATAAGGCGTATGGTTTTTTTATTTGTTGCCCTGACATTCGAAACTGTTTTCCAACGCATTTAGACAAATTGTGACACAGCCTCAGGACTGTTGGCAAAAAACATTCAATGCATAAATTATTTTTAAATGTGGGCATCCTGCCACGGTAAACCAAGTGCTATCTCCTTTAATTAAGATTCATGAAAATTATATCATGTGTACAGAAATGAACAAGGATCATAAATTAAATAAAATGTAAATAAAACATGGTGAAAACAAACGGAAAAAAAACTTCAGAATCTAGAAAAAAAATATTGGAAAGTCATAGTTTAGTAAAAGAACTGCTATTTGTAAAAATTAAAACAGTAAAAAAATCACATTAGTTGAAACTACCTATTTAAAGAAACTAAATTAAATGAGATAATTAAACAAACGAATGCAATACTCGCTTTCACCATGGAGCCAGCAGTAATACGAATCTGATCTATAAACATCGGTATGCACATCTAATCAAAAAATATAATTCTACTAGCAAGTGATGTTGTTAAAGAGAATGGCAAGTTGACCAACTGACAAAAAAAGATTAATTTCTTGAAATCAAATCTACAATATTACAATTTTGTACAGGACCTACAACCTATGCAGGTATATATCATGCTGAGTATTCCAATCTCGAGATGCTTCCTAATGTGAGGCAATATATTCAAAACAAAATGTTTTCGCTTCTCTGATTCAATAATATATTTCGTTATTTAAATAACATATAATGATTAAAATTTGCCGGTTGATTTCTAATATAAACTAAAACACAAACCAAAAACAATGAGAAAAAAGGTAAACGAACACATACATATGGATAGTATTAGGGTATACATTTTTCTGTGGGGTTCTTAACTTGGTAGTGGTATGATACAGTTAAGTTTGGTGTTATATTGAGTCATCTATTATACAGCACGTCTATCAGGATAAGGAGACGGAGAAAATAATTTAGTCAATAAAATTACCATTTAACATTAGCGTCAAATATTTGTTAGCTGATTAAATCAACTCAAAACGATTCATAATTTACCTAGATACTTGTTTTCTCTGTAAATTTCGAGAATAATTTAAACGGCGTTACCTGTTAGAAATAGTGTCAGTCCGCGCATTCCTCACCGCAATATAGTCTCACCTAATCATATGAGCTTAATGTTAGCCTTATGTCGCCCCGGTGTGATTTTATGTGTGGGGTGCGGGTGAGAGACAGAGTTGGTAAGCCTGAAAGACAATGATTAATAAAATGTTTATAATAAGTCAAACAAACGTGTCTGTTTACGCATGGATTATGACTGATGAGCACTCACTACCTTCTGTTAACAAGGTCTCTTAGGAAACATGGTGCTATAGGTTCATGAAAGATAAACCTCAGGGTATCAAATAGCATTTAATCCTTACAGTCTAATGAGTTGTAGTTCACGCCTAATGTTAACAATGGTACAAAAGGCTCTTGGGGACAGATAATATAGTTCTTAAACGTGTTTAAACTAAGGGGGAGGAAGCAGGATAAGAAATATCCTTCTCTTTATCAGCATGATGTTGTATGTAAATTGTGGTCACGGACGCTTTCTTTTCACTGAGCAGATAATCGTATAATCGTCTGTTAGATACGGTGCTGACAGTATTTTAAAGCAAATATCCTTAGTTGTGTCGACTTCTTAAATCAGTAATCACTAAAAATTAGAAAATAAAACAAATATATTAAAAAACAACGTTATAGCAACATGCTTGTAAATGCTGTGAAATAAGAAAATAAAAATAAATAAAATAAAGAAAATAAAATAAATAAAAATTAAAAGCTTTCGTCGCTCTTGACGTATGAGATAATTATAATAAGTTATAGCCTTGACCGGCCTTGATTGATCCTTTAATAAACACCATTCTTGTCAACCACCCTCATATTAATGCCATGGAAAAAGTAACCCCGGTGCAGGGATGGAATCTTGAAATTTGATAAGAGAATTATTAGATGTATAGACATATTGCACACGATACAATACTGAATGTCTGGTTTAACTAGCCTATATGTGCAGTAATCTTCGATGCTCAACTTCGGTTTACCTAAACATGGGGATTCGAAGCTATAGACTTGAACCGGTGGCGTAGCTAACATCAGTTAGTATGAATCGAGTTTAACAAAATATCAATCCATCACATCAACACTAGCTCATTTTTTAGAGTTAAAAATGAATCTATTTACTGGGGTAACGCAAAAGGCAATGCTATGGGAGGATGAGTGTCTATGTATATTCTTAGAAGCGTAACCTTGTTTTTTTAACTGAATTATTTACATGTAAACAATTCATTGTGGCGTGCTGTGTGAAAGTTTTACTATTACGTTAATCACTTACCGTCATATCACCGTCAATCACTCACCGCCCAAGCGCCAGGGACCTAGAAGGGCGTTCTCGTGAGCCCCCGATTATACTACAGCAGGGGAGCCACGTATGGCCCCTTGGCGTTTTTTGCGCTCACGGGAAAGCCCAGTGCGTGAAATCGCACCCTGCAGGAGCGCTGGAGGAGGAACCTAATTCAATAGTCATCAAATATTGTTGCCCATCGTTTCTTTAGTGTATAGCCTTTTTTAAATAGTGCACACAAGGGAGCCTTAGGCGCTTCGGCTCGAGAAATATCCGGGGCGCCGGAGGCTGTGACTGTTAAAGTTATAACGCTGAATAAAGTAGTACCCCTTACCCGCTATGCAGGACGCTCGATTAATGGATAACACGTGCTAATATTGCCGCACTGAGACTCCGGGCACCAAATCGTATATTGACAAAAATAGCAACCTTGCGTGCGCCGCCCTTAAGAAATATTTCTCAGAAACCTTTTCAGAAGTATTCTCATAAAATCCCCTAAGTTTTATGGCACTCGGATGAACGGTGTCGAACCGCATTCGATTTGCGAAATTAAAAAAAAAAAACATTTTTCTGTCGGTCCGAGACCGGAGGCTGCTAAATTTGAAATGCCTACGGCGCAGAGAAGTGCCTGATTGGGCACCCGACCACTCTGCTTAGATATGCCTAGAGAGGAAGAGAGGAAGCTTCTAGGCGCGCTTACAGCTTGGTGTTTTCTATGGTCTCCATGAAGAGAATTATATATTATATAGATTATATAGATTGAACTACTATTTAAGTAACTACATAGATCTCTTCCTTAATGTTAGTAACGTTATCCAAAAGATAATATTGAGACCCATGCTTTTCTTTATAGTTATTTAAATTTTAAAATAGTGTGTTATTATATATTTAAAGAAAATCATTTTTTTTTCTTGCTTTTATAGCATTATTACATAAAAGCATGTTATTAAAAAGTTTTTATTCAATATTTTTCAGTATTTTAATTTTTTTTTTACAATAGAGTTGCATGAATAACTACTTTTGCGCACATATTGAACAATAAATTGATTCTAATAGTGTGGAAAGAGTAGTAGGACAGCCCAGTAAATTCAGAAAATATTAATTAGTTTTTATAAAATTAATTAGGTATTCATTTAAGTCAAATTGAAGGTCAAATTGCACTGTCTTTAAATCTTGAACAACGTGCCGAATTTTAGAGAAATTAATCGTTTAGAGGTGCCTGAAATTTCACTCACCCGTTATGATCTCGCACGACGGACAAATAAAGCAAGTTAAATAAATGCGTTTACAAAGAGTGTTGCTCATTTTTATTTTAATGTGGGAACACAATTTCTGTTTGGTAATAATAATAACAACTCAGGTTTTTTGGGCATTTTATTTTAAAATGTGTGACGTGTTGACGATTGTTCGTAACGAACCATTTTATTTTGGCGAATGTAAGGCTTTTTTCGAAACACAACTTTAAATTTAATTAGCCGTCCCGTCTAGGCCCTGCACTGGCCTCTGTGAAAAAGCTATCTGTATAAGATTGTTATTTGTGCTTTCATTATGCAGCAAATACCCGACACTAACAGTGTTTAAGAAATATATTACTTCCAATAAAATGTTTTTACGGAAATATTTACGATTAAGAAAGTCACACATAACCCTACAGTTAACTTTAACTCCAAACTCAACCCAAACCTCAAACCAAAAACGACCAAAACCATAACCAAAAACACAAACACTTGCAAATGTTGCACGAAATACAAACGCAAACTAAAAACAAACGCAGGGGCAAATACAGACACAATCGAAAACACAAACGAAAACTCAAACGCAAACACGAATGCAACTTTAACACAAAAGAAAACACAAACGCAAACAAAATACAACACAAATGCAAACGCAAATTAATCTCTTAAAAATAGAAGTAGAAATGTTTAACAAATAATAAAGTTGCAAAACAAATATAAACACATTTGACATGTGTAAAGCAAAAACAATTTTGAGACATTCGTTTACGATAATGTAACACAAATGAACGCATGTGCTCTAAAGTTAAACTTGAATTTATTTAGT